TTATATAATAGTCATATATATAACCAACAGCTGATTAAATATAGTATACGACACAAATACTTCGTATATAGGTATGGATACTGATAATTTTATATAAATAAAATATACGGAGTATATATTACTAAGATTTATCCCTACCTTAATTATAAAAAGGTTAACAAAACTCTTATAATAGTGCATGGACATTTATATATCTAAAAATGTTCTTTTTACATATATTTTCCCCCATTTAATTTTAAATGCCTTAAAATTGTCTCTTGAATTCGTTAAATTGATTTAAAAGGTTATGTTTATTTCAATATTTAAAGCCATTTACTATTTTCATTTCCTTTTGTTTTAATTTTTCTATTTAGAATTTATTAGACTATTAGGTTTCAAGATCGAAGTCAATATCTTTTTAACGTACAATCACTAAATCAAAGTCGCTCAACTAAAGTTTTGGATATTGCATAGCTACACAACATCCAACACATTTAATGATTACATGCAAATAATTTTAATAAAACTACGCATTCAATATAAGTTATTAAACAATTTAACTATATATACATTTAGATAGGTTTATATCTTTCATATTAACAAAAATTTACAAATGTTATTATCATATTTTGAAAAAAAAAAAAATAAGACTTTGGAGTTTGTATAAGATAAATAAAGGATAAGTTAATTCCCGTCATATATGCATTGAGTTTTGGGTGTTCTATCCAGTTCACCCTTTGGGCTAATCCAGATTTGAGAATCAGTTCTAGGTTATTAGGTTCCACTCCCCTTCCGATTGTTGTTGCAGGGGAGCACACAGGTCCTCCCTACCAAGTGTAGTCTCAATCACCACTACACCAACAATCAATTGGTGTAGTGGTGATTAGGACTACACTTGGTATGGAGGACACGTGTTATAAATTATTATGTTATATACGTATACTTTTTTATATTATAAAAAATATTATATTATATACACATACTATTATAGTTAAAAGTATTATTATGTATAAAACAACATAAATTATTGCACATGATTGTTGTATATCTAGTATAGTACATGAGCAATGCACGATTTTTAAATCAAAATGTTAGTTTTTCTAAAAAAAATTCATAAGTAATAGCATTGTTAATACGAATATTACAATTTAAAACATGAGTAATAGTTATAATACATTTTATATCTATCCCTTTTCCGTCAAATGTCTAATTCAATTTAACTTTTATTCCTCTTGTTTAGATTGGTTATTGGTTCTTTTTTTTTTTTTTTTTTTTTTTTTTACAAGAAAAACAAAAGGTCATTGTATTGAAAATGAAAGGCCGATTAAAATTAAATTTATGTTCAAGATTACGTATTCTTTTCCAAGACAACATTTCGGCTAAGCATTCAGTATTTGTCAAGGAGTACAACAAACGATAAAAGTAATTTTTACACTATTTTGTATCTTTATCAAAAACTTTTGTATTCATCCGATTACTTGAATTGAATTTAGGATAACTTGTAGACTATTTTGGGTAACTTTTATCAATAAAGCATAAATAACTTTCATTCATTACAGGGTAGCTTTTATAATAGGTGCACAATATTTTATTGTACACCTGATTTTTTTTAAATGTTTGTATTGATTTCATAATTGACGTCAAACTAAATATTATCGATTTTATTTAATTTTCATAAAAAAAAACACAATATTAGCCTTTCAAAATACGAAATATTTGTTTCCTTAATTATGCCACTTTAATCATATTACTTCAAATTAATTATTATTCTTTAGCTTAACTATAAATAAAGATTGGAAAGATTTTATGGATTATTTGTAGTACTGGAAAGTATATATTTATTATAAAAAAAATTAAATCAATATTTATGTTAGGAAATCATGAAAATCTTATGCTTGTATAGAAACTTGCTTTTATTGTTTGAAGTTTAACAAAAATAACTATGCTTAAATATGTAAACAGTAATTATATAGATATATTTTATACATAAGATAAGCCAATGAGAGAGTGACATTTTTCATCCTCACATTGAGGCGCTTGTCTTTTAGTATAATATATAGATAGATAGATAGATAGATGAATGTTAGACATTTACATGTTTTGTTTAAGGATACAGCTACACCAAACTCAAGACCCTCCTCACATGTGAACCAACTTAAAGTTTATTTGATCCATAATTATCCAACCCAAACATGCCCATGTTGGCTGGCTTGAATTGAAATCTAAAGGGTTAAAAACTCACTATGGTGATCATTGGTCGAGCTTTGGCAAAAAAAAAAAAAAAAAAAAAAAAAAAGCCCGTTTTGAGCCGAAAAATCATGCCCAAACCTGCAATTTCAGAATAAAAAAAATAGCAGACTTTTATGGCTAAAATTTGGTCGTGTATAGATTTTTACTAAAATGTAATTTTAGAATGTCCAAAACCCAATTATTTAAAGAAAAATGCATGGGATCGAGTTAGCCTGAAGAAATTAAGGCCCATAAATTTGCTCTAATCCGACTTTTTCAGACCGGATCAATGGGTTAAGGCAACTTTGATCAAGTAAATGGCCGACGTAATCTAAATCGAACGTGATCTGGCCCAAACTTGAATCTGAATGGAAAGCTAGACTAATTAGACATGACTCGGCACAAATATAATCCAATAAGACTTGACTAGATTGGACTCATAGCCGATCCGAACTTAAATTGATAGCTTTGAGTAGATGTGCTAGCTAATAAATCAATAAATGTTTTATGTGGATTCTTGTATTATTTTCAAATACTTGCATGTATCCGCCCTTGTACAAAAAAAACTCAATTTTCATTTGATCAATGAACTTATAATCCTAGTAGTTTAATTGAAGTAAGGCTGTTTAAATCAGGTTAAATTTTACTCTAACTGAATTAAGACTAAACTTTCTATCAATAAAAATTGCAAGCAAGTCCTTTACAATAGAACGCATTTAGAGATTTATTAATATTGTAAAAGGGGTCGGGGCTGAAACAGTGAAATCTATAAAATATCAATGAACGCACATGAGAACTTTGAAGAATTAGAACAAATTTTTTAATATAATTTAATTTCTTTAAAGGTGGGGCTGGACGTAGATTGGCAATCTGATACGAGAATCATGACATATATTTGACTAAATTTTAAAGTATGAAATAGTATATAAACCATGCAAAATAATTGATGACTTTGGGCAATCTTGATGCATTAAAGTAATTATGAAGAGCTTTGACTTAAAATGAATCAAATGTCGCAAATGCAAATGTCATGGAGCTTTTTACCCTATTTGTAATTTTGTATGGTTGACAAAGTATTGGTGTACAAGGAAATTGACTAATCACACCCTAAAAAGTAAAAATTAAAAATAAGAATTTTTTATAAAAGAAATTGACTAAAATTAATTTATACTGAAATAGATGCTGTCTCCACTAAACTACTTAATTTATACTCATCATTTTCCAGGTTTGTTATACCACGTATTATTGAGCTTACTATGCAAAATTATTACTCCATATTTGAGTATTATTTTACACTACATCAATATTCGCCCGTCACATGGTGATGATAAATAATTAATCTGTATATATTTTTTAATTTTGTTATTGATAACTTTTTAAGTTTTATTCTTTATTTTTTTTATTTTTTTTGTATAAAAATGTGTTTTATAAATATAAAAAAGCATGTAGGTAATCCTTTTTTCTAATGGTTTAATTTTTTTAATATTTTTTATACTACATCATAATTTTTACTATATTGTTATTGAAAATGTATTAAAATGATTGTTAGACAAAATATATTTAACATTGCATTATTTATTGAACTTAGGGTCTGTTCTCATTTACTAAACTGAGCTGAACTGAATTGAACTGAATTTTTTATGAGAGAGGGAAATTAAGAACTGAGCTGGGCTAAACTGAACTGAACTGAAGTGAGCTGAACTAAACTGAAATTAAGCTGAAGAGTACAAACCCTTATATGTTTAGAGTGGAAGTTAAAGAAACAGTATCTACATCTATTAAATATTGTTGTGCTAGTATTAGAAATATCCAAAATTAGTACGTTGTATACAACAATATTGATACAAAATTCAAGTTTTAGATTTTCAGTTTCATATCTACTTGGTCCTAATTTCTAGCAAGTAAAATGAAAGGGCAAAATAAAATAAAATGATGACATCATAGTTAAGTTTGAAGGGAAAATTTTAATTAATGAGAGCTTGACACACAAGACACTTTAAGGAATTGATGACATATCATTAACACGTTTTGTTTTAGTAATAGTTAATAAATTTAGATTTAAAAAAAATATTATATAAGGATTACTTACTTATGTTTATGAGTGTGTAACTCAAAGATTATACAATGCGCTGTAATTTTTTACATACTTGAGGAAATAAGGGTATAATTGTGTTTGATAATGTGGAATAAATAAATGAAAAATAATAACGAGAAAAACAATAAAGAAGATAAACAAAGAACACAAGAATTTACATGGTCGGTCAAAATAGACATACATCAATGGGTAGGGGATTCGAGAGCTTGTTCACTATAATGGAGAAAGAACGAGAGAATTATACATGGAGTCCTCAATCTAATGGCTTAAAAGGTATGATCTAATTGATCAACTAACAATCCTTTTATAACATAAGGAAACCCTAAAATTGTTCTCCAAGTATATTCAAATAGCCGTCATAGAAGAAATATAATTTTGGGAAATTATTTCTATTATAATTAAGCTAAAATTGGACCAAAAAAACGCCCAACTCAACCAAGCATGGACGTGCTATGTCGAGCACTTCGTCAGCATCGTTCCAGCTTCGTCAGGTCTTTGTAAAACGATTATAACTTTCTCGTTTATTAATGGAATATAGGGCATATGACGTATCGTTGGAAATCTCTTGAATCAAGCTATCACCACCAACTTGATTAACCTCAAAATCATTTATAGTTTGAGAGATATGAGCATTCAAAGTTAGCTCTATTAGATTTCGAGTCACAATTTAACAGTATCCATATAGGATAGATAAGTATAATTTCGAATAGTTTTCATATTAGATGCTCTACTCAATTAGCCAATCACCCCCAAATGAGAGTAGAAAAATAAAAATAAGATGTCTCTATCAAATTCACAAACTACAATAACTACCACAGTAGTCAACAATTTCTAAGAAAAGATAAATGGGAATTGAATAAACCCCTCAAAAATTTACTATTTATATTCAACAGTACATTACATGAATCAAGCAAAAGCCAGGAGAAATGGAGGGTACAAAAAAAGTTTCCTCTTTTTCTTTTTAATTTTTCCTTTTTTAAGTAGCCACCCAAAAAGGTTCCCAATTAATTAATCCCTTATTCCCTTGCCCTCTTTCTTTGCATCTACTTGTTCTTTGAATTTTTCCAATTCCCAATTTTACCCCTAACTCTTTTGAAATTCCATTCATATCCTCCAACAAATATGCATCATTTTTTTTGTTACATTCTTCTAAAACCTCTTCCTTAACAACTTCTTCCTCTAGCCCCTCTTCATCATTTTCTACCAATTCTTCCACCCCATTGTCGTTTTCGTTGTCGTTATCGTTATCGTTATCGTTAATGTCTTCCATCATCATGGACAACCTTAGACGGCCATCACTTCGCTCGGCTTGCATACAAGCCTGAATAGGAGGGGTAGAGACAGCCTCAATTACCAACCGACCATCTTCACGGTATGGTCTAACACATATATTACTCGTACCGGCTATTGTAGTCAAGGGAGGCGGAAACTTCCCTTGACCTAATGATAATTCCTTCCTTATATCAAACTTTTGTCGCGGTGTTGTTCTTCCTTTCGTTGCCGTCGTTGTTATTTTTGTTTTTGTTGTTGTTGTCGTTGTTGATGTAAATAAACTATCGGTACTTTCCATGTCGAAAGTGCCGGTTTCATTTCCTAGACTCTCGGTACACATTTTCAAACTTTTTTCACTAAGCATGAATGATGATCGTTTAACTAAAGGATGTACATATACAACCTCTTCTTTAGGTACCGCGTCTCTTTTACTAGTTAGAGCTTCAATTGAGCTCCAACCCCCGGAAGAATTCGAACTCGAGGGTGTAGTTTTAGCTCCATACAAGGAATTAGAGCTAAAATTTTCGACCGAGTTTTTTGTTGATGAATTTAGTTTTAGGCTAAGGGTAGTTCTTGACTCAATGAAGTGTGACTCATTATTACAACAAGGTTGTAATTCTTGATAAACAATGGTTGACATTTTAAATTTTTGTGGAGAGATTTTTTTTTGGAGGAAATATATGAATTATGAAGAAGAGAGTTTAGAAGAAGATTTTGTATTTTTGAGTAGTAGTAGTAGAAGTGAACATGGGATGTAATGAAGAGGCAAGGTTCTCTATTTATAGGCCATAAAAATAAAGTCATCCATAAAGTTTCTAACGTAAGAGAGAGAGTATGGGATTGTGGGGGGGGGGGGGGGGGGGGGAGAAGACCTTTTTCCACCACTAGAATTGTAAATTAGCTTGACAAATATTCACTTATTTTTAAAAGTAAATGACTTATAATAAACGGTCTTGAATATAAAAATCTAACATAAGGGAAGCAAGGAATATACTCTCATGTTATTTTAAAATTAGGAGAGAATCAACAATAGTTTGTTCACTAGGTAAAAATAAAAGAGTATAGTAAAATAAATTTTGTGAAACTAATAGATGGACCTTGTAGGGTTAATTACTACGAGTATTTTTTTTTTTTTTATAATCTTTGTGGGTTTTACGTTAATATTCTAATCTGATTCGACATATGGTCATCTCTAAAATTTGGAGTTACGCTCCTCCTATTTCCTTTTATCATCTTTTTCTAAAAGAAAAAAACAGAAAAAAAGAAGAGCAGAAACAAAGGATTTATCAAATTTTGTTGATAACGATTGTTCCTCTCTTTTTCTTCTTAAAAAGAAAAGAAAATCTCCACATGCTTAAGAAATACAGCTTTACTCAAATGCATTTTCGGAACCGTACCATTCATAACACTACAGATAACACCATAAATCAGCCAACATCCTTGAAATTTCCAATAGCAAAAAGCACAACATATATTCCACATACTAATAATATGGGATTAGCAATCAATACATGCTTTGAAACTTATAACATGTGTTTACTTTAAAATTATTAAAACAAATAAATTTGGGCTGACTAAAAGACCCGGTGGGCCGCGTCAACCCATGCCCAACCAACCAAGCCCAACCTATTTAAAAGCTCCATCTCCTAAACCCGATCAAAACGTGATTTAAGGTTAATTTCAACTCGTTATTTAGGTTAACCCATTTAAGTTAATTAATTGTGTGCATAATATGTTACTCAAACTTTACGTGCTTACACTTTAATTATTTAAAATTTGATATACTAAAAATTTATATATATTGTGCCAATATCACGAAAAAATGGTTGCAAATTAACTAACGGATTGACTCGAATTTATAACCTGTGCCAAATTAGGTAAAAATAAAAAGATATTTACCATGATAAAAACAAAATAATGATATACTAAACCCCCATGAAAAGGACAGTACATAGTATACAAACTATATACTCCAAATAAACATTTCATGCAAAATTATAATATAGTATACTATACCATGAAAATAATGATATACTAAACCCCCATGAAAAGGAGTACAAATTAAAATCTAGTACGTTACACATAATATCATATAGTATACTAGACCATAAACTTATCCAAATAAAAATTTCATGCAAACTTATATTTACAATCAATTGCTGACCTACTTTAATTTAGTATGATCCAACAACAAACAAGTTAGATGGTATCCTGAGCATTTTGCTAAGAATTGTATAGTATTAATTCAATTAATTTCATTTGCTAAGCCACAAGATGACAACTTACAAATTCCACTATGTATTAATTAAAACACAGTGTTTCCCATTCTTCAACTTAATTAGTTTTCTAATCTAAACTTTAATTCAAGGTTGGTTCATGTTAACATCATAAACTAAATCCTAATTTTAGTTTAATACATAATTCTGATGACGTTAATCAGCACAAGACACCTTTTCACTTGTGTATGTCTAACATCCATGTATTTAAAGGAAGGAGATAAAATGATTAATCCAGGTTATTTATTGTCTCGAATGTCGGTGATTAATCTAATTAACCCACCGGAGGCTGCTAATTACCGGCAACATCATTGCATTATTACGGCCTTGTGTCTATGTTATGTTGCACTCTAGGATCCAGGCATCTGGGTCCTGCTAGTAAGCCTCATGTTAACTTTTATTTTTTTTTTACTTTATAGGCGGTTAGTCATTGATGATTTGTACACATTTTATTTTTTAAAAGTTAATTATGACTCAAATGTCTAGGTATAGATTATAGTATAACTAGCACGTTAATTACACTACCAGAATTTATCCACCACAATCATATATAATGCCTTGAATCCGCTTGGTACTTGAAGGTGATGATCCATAAATAATAGATCAAAAAAATCGTGAAAATTGAGGTTTGGTCAAGGTTATTCTTGTTTAAAAAATAAATAATACCTTAGTCCATCGAGTATATAATTAAAGATATTGATTTCCATCAGGCACTCTATTACATGGTAAAGTTCACTAGTAGTAATCGATTGAGCTATTCCTGATAGAGCATCAAACATATTTCTGAGTTTTAAGCATTCAACCATCAGATTAAACTTTTGGTGTTGAGATGATCTTCTAATATAGTCGATCCAAAATTGACACAAATTGGGAGACATTGCGGATCAAATATATCTCCGTCGTCCTTTTAACACCCAACTCTCATAAGAGGATGTTACATGTTAGAAGAATGGAACATAGGCCAGCATAACATGGGAAACTCCACTCTAAAGGTTGAACCCACTAGTATATTAATTGTCTCTAGGACCATGTTGTCTGGTGGAGGCCAACTTACATCTGACCTACCCTAATAACCTTTTAAAGTACATACTACTACTAATTTCAAAAAATTAATGTAGGGGTAGTATATATATACCTCTAATAATACTTAAGGTTGTACTTGCTTCATTAATACAGTGCTAAACACCTTGTCTGGGTTTCCTAATGTAGATAAATACTTGTTACTTTTGGTTTGTTTGTGGAAAATAAAAACTGCTACCAATACAAATTCATGAACATGTATTTGTACTATTTTATACTTTCTCGTTTTGGGGTATGCCCATGTGCAACACCCCTTTACCTTTGTAGATCTAGTTTAAAGCAATTTAACCTGTAGGATTGCCTAAGGGCCATGCTAAAGGGCAAGCAACAGCGCTACCTTGTAGGACTATGGCCTGGATCGGTGTTGTGTAACAAGCTAGACGTATAGTAAATGCAATGTACGAAGTACGGAGTAGTTTTTGGTGTGTTGTACTTGAGTGTGTCCCGCTTTTTTGATTTCCTTCTTTTTGAGAGGGGGTCGGGAGCGAAGACTGAACAACCATTATAAGAATCCATGTTTTTTAACGACTGGTACATAATTAATTAATCAATTGATAAATTATTAACCAACTATTTGAACATTCATCTATAGAGTTGAGTATAGATTAGATACTGATTTGAGATGTGATATTTTATCTACTTTGAGAAATTTGTTTATTTGATATTTGATAGTTTTTAATTGAATATCATTAGATATATTTTGTTGTGAAATTTAAATTTAAAGAATGTTTGCCATGGGAAAAAAATTTGAAACACAATTAAGCATCACATCATCAACTTTATGAATTACTTAGTTTTTTAAAAATCAAATAGTTGATTTGTTTAGATCAAATGTGGTATTCTTAAAAATCGAATTTGATCTAATAGCGAATCAAATATTTAAATTCCGGATCATAAATCTGAAAAAATATACTCGGTATATACAATAGTGAATAGAACATTTGATTTTAGGATGAGCATTGCATTTTACCACCCTAGCTAATGATTGTGTTAGTTGGAATATGCCATGTAATGGTTATATTACATTCCAATGTACAACATGTCTTGATCAAAGCAATCTCCAGTAATAATCACGTATACCTAATGTTTGGGGACGATTGGACATAAATTTCAATGTTCTACAATTGGGAAAAAGGTACGTCATGTCTTTGTTGTACTGTATCAAGGTCATATGTGCCGGAATTTTAGACTATTGTTACAATAATATTGAATCTTGTTTTCGTTGTTATTTGTTAGTTTTGTTACCTTACAATCCAGACCCATGAGCCCTTTATGTCCTCTATACGACCAAAGAAAATCCGTTTGGGATTCGTCGGCATCAAATGAGTCTTTCAAATTGTCGGCCTAAACTACATCACTCCTCTACTTTACGATGTACCTTTAGTAAATTGTATCTACATTAATTACGAGAAAACATGTCACTCAGTAAACGAACACGTCAACATTTACTCTATTGTTGAATTTTGATTTATATTAGGTATCTCATTGAATTATTGAGTTGGAAAGTTGAACATCACTATTACATTGACATACGTCCACTTCGATGCTAAATTAAATTGTACCTTTCATGAATCGCCTTTATCTAGGCAAATATTTCACATAATTCACAATACCTAGAGTAAACATCAAGAATGCCAAATTACCAAAAATTGTGACTCAAACTATATTATTTTAAAAAAAAAATCAAACATTCATATATTTCATAATTGGTTCGATTATACCAAGATATTTTGGGTGTTATGTTCGAGAGCATTAAGCAATGGCCTCTAAAAAGTTGACAACAAATGAGAGAAAGACACATCTTCGTATTAATAAATTGTGTCATCTTCATCATAAGTTAAAAGCTTCTAAAAGTAGTAAAATACAAAATGAAAATAGAAAATGGAAGCCATATGTAAAACAACATTCAGTAACAACCTCCTCTTGTTCGTCAATGGTTTCTGACGTAATGTTTCAAACTAATTTTTTTCCTATTCTTGGTTATTCAATTCATATGACTTGCAAGTTAATGGACCCATACATGATATCATCAATTCAATGCTAAAAATTGCTAATTATTAGATAAAATAATGATTAATTTCCAAGATTAGAAATAAAATAATGTCATAGCCACCTTTTCTATGTCATAATTAGATTGAATTCTTTTGTTTGGCAAATCTTTATTGGCCAACGTTTTGTGTACTACTTATTGGTTACCATCAAACAATATAGAAGTATTTGGTAAATGACTTTTTATTTAGCAAAATGAAAATTTTGATAAAATGGCTTTTAGGGGACGACTGGATTCGGTGAATGCTCCCGAAACCTTTTTTTTGAACATTTAAGACGGAGACCCAAAAGTGTAATGGTACAAAAACTTGAAGAGTAGAATCATAAAGAGACTAATTAAATAAGGGAGCTGAGAGGGAGACCGAAATTGACTTAGTTAGAAAGAGTTAGGAAGGATATAAAATGTATGCATTTG